CATTTCTAATCGCCCTGCAAATATACGTATATTTCAGAGACAGTGAGTTCGTAGTCGTCGCACACACCTCTCCATCCCTGCCGGATAATTGCCGTTCCGTTGTTCCCAGGCTCAGCACAAAGTCCGTCGCGTCTCTAACGTACTTCTCCGTCGTCGCGTCTTTCTTCAGCAAGTCCGGGAAACTGAGCAACATCTGCAGTATGCTCGCTAGACCGTGAGCGGGCCCTGTAACCACGACGACAACAAACATCAAACAACAACAACAACAACAATGACAACAACAATAAACATCACACAATTACAATGCACACATGCACGTAGTAAAGACAAACAACGTGGCTATTAGACAGGATTTGTAACGACGCCAACAAACACGTAGTTTGGGAACCACCTTTACACTGGGCCACGCTATAACAAACAATTACAATGTGCATGTGCACGTAGTAAAGACGGACAACGTGGCCATTGCTATTACCCAGCATTTTATATATTAGGACATACTGAAGGCTGAGAGGGTCTATGTCCGCACAGGGTACTGCGGAACGTACCTTTGGGTAGCGGTCAGTTATACCGAGACGGTACCTGTACTGATCTAATATGACGCAATCCGTACCTGCGCCTAATCCAGCTACACGAGTCTAGGGAGTCACCTACACGCCTACTCCCTACCTACCCTAACAGCATATCAGATAAGTTTACCAGGGGTACATTCCATATATACGAGCGCTAGCCGCAGGGTACGTTCCAAGCAGTTACCCAGGGGCATAGAGCCTATAGGCTGGAAGCCATACCGAAACACATTAGGCATGACACTTGAAATATATTTCTCAAAGAGATCGCAAGATATTCACATATATACAATTTTGTAACATCGGCAGATTTGCTTTTACAATAAATTTTGGAAATTAGCGTAATAACCCTATGTGTACTTCTGTATTAGTAGGCATACATCAGTGGATCTTGGCGATTGCTCTCGTTTCGCATACTCCGCGTGCCAGACCTTGATGATAGCATTAAACAGGCACTCCACTTGATGCCGACTTAGAACTGCTGCGCGATTCCCAACATCAGCTAAGTTCAAGTAAATGATTTGTAAGGAAAAATTCACGGTGAACTGTATCAATGCTGGTTGATCTAGTATGCATATATACCAATATCACATTGAAAAATGTAGGGCGCCGATTATTGCCCGAATTGCATATCACACTATTTGTGTTTATACGAAACCCTAACTAATGTTGGCTGAAGTAATATGATATAATGATTGTATGATTGTATATAATATACGTAATGATTGTATATAATGATAAAGTGATATAATGGTTTGTTGCTGGTTTACAAACAGCAACATAACAGATAATGTAACGCTGGCTGAGTCACGTGACGTATAGCTACCCTCCGCTAATATCCTCTCCACAGACACACGAAGACCTCCATGAAAGTGTCAATGACACTATAGCTCACCTTGGGTGTGATAGAAGAGGGAGATGATATTTAAAATTTGGTAAGTGTTTCATTTATGACGAACCAAAATGTGATCAAATGTCCTTATTCCCTGTTTTATACTAATAGAAATTTGACTGTTTTGTTTCAGGGTTAGTTTTGATGCGAAAATAAATGTTTCAGATCTGAAAGTCTGAAATCTGGGCGAGAGATGGCGCTACACCTAAATGATCGTCATGTTGGTTTTCGATTATCGCGCAAATAAAAGCAATAAAATATTCCAGTCAAATTACTGTAACGAATAATCTAAAACACAATATTACACGTAGGTATGATTAGGTAGGTAGGTAGGTAGGTAGGTAAATTTAACAAATCGAATGAATCTAAATGGCCATTTTCATTTTTGCCAAAAAGTAAGCGTGGCTCGAAAGTAGGTCGTTCAAATCCCTCCCATAGGAGTAACAACTGTATGCAATTTTAGACATGTGGGTCAAACGGTTCTCGAGTTATAGTTGACCGTAGGCAGACACTGAAATGCATAGTGAAATTGGCAAAATCGACCTAATTTGCATAATTTAAAACAAATATAAAAACCCGTGTAAAATGTTTTGAGGCCAGTGCTTATTCATTCACATACCAAAAATTAGCAAAATCCGTTGAACCTGAACGGACTCATGGCCATTTCCATTTTTGCCAAAAGGTGGGCGTGGCTCGAAAGTATGTCAACTGGCGTGCTCCAAAATAGGACGTTCACATCTCTCCCATAGGAGTAACAACTATATGCAATTTGAAACATGTGGGTCAAATGGTTCTCAAGTTATCGTTGACCGTAGCCAAATGTTGACGGACGGACGGACGTACGACGGACGACACCCCATGGCAATAGTTCATCTTCACAATGTCAATGTGAGCTAAAAATGCTCTACAATACATCCATCCAGAGCATACACATCAGAAGACAGATATCCCCTTAACGCTCGTAGGAAACGCTCGGTGCACCCTAACCCTAACTCTCCTCAGACACACGAAAACAAC